GAACGGGCTGGGCCCAGTAAGGCCCCGGTGGGAGGAACGGGCTGGTCCCAGTAAGGCCCTGGTGGGAGGAACAGGCTGGTCCCAGTATGGCCTTGGTGGGAGGAACAGGCTGGTCCCAGTAAGGCCCCAGTTGGTGGAATGGGCTGGTCCCAGTAGGGCCTTGGTGGGAGGAATGGGCTGGTCCCAGTAGGGTGAAGGGGCTGGTCCCAGTAAGGCCCCAGTAGGGTGAACGGGCTGGTCCCAGTATGGCCTTGGTGGGAGGAACAGGCTGGTCCCCGTAAGGCCCCAGTTGGTGGAATGGGCTGGTCCCAGTATGGCCTTGGTGGGAGGAATGGGCTGGTCCCAGTAAGGCCCTGGTGTGAGGAACGGACTGGTCCCAGTAGGGCCTTGGTGGGAGGAATGGGCTGGTCCCAGTAGGGTGAACGGGCTGGTCCCAGTAAGGCTGTGGTGGGAGGAATGGGCTGGTCCCAGTAAGGCCCTGGTGTGAGGAACGGACTGGTCCCAGTAGGGCCTTGGTGGGAGGAATGGGCTGGTCCCAGTAGGGTGAACGGGCTGGTCCCAGTAAGGCTGTGGTGGGAGGAATGGGCTGGTCCCAGTAAGGCCCTGGTGTGAGGAACGGACTGGTCCCAGTAGGGCCTTGGTGGGAGGAATGGGCTGGTCCCAGTAGGGTGAACGGGCTGGTCCCAGTAAGGCTGTGGTGGGAGGAATGGGCTGGTCCCAGTAAGGCCCTGGTGTGAGGAACGGACTGGTCCCAGTAGGGCCTTGGTGGGAGGAATGGGCTGGTCCCAGTAGGGTGAACGGGCTGGTCCCAGTAAGGCTGTGGTGGGAGGAATGGGCTGGTCCCAGTATGGCACTGGTGAGGGAGACAAGCTGGTCCCAGTAGGTCCCCAGTCAGGGGAATATACTGTTCCCAGTAGGGCCCTGGTGGGGGACACAGGCTGGTCCCAGTAAGACGCCAGTGCGGGGCATGTGGGGCAGAGCTCTAGCCCCAGTGTGGCTCCGTGGGTGCAGGGGGACACTGGTCCCAGTAGGGCCTCACTGGGAATCGGGGGGGCGGGGGGAATGTCACTGTTCCCAGTAGCACCCCAGTAGGACCACACTGGGCCTCCGATGTCCT